TGCAAAAACTTTTTCCCATTCTATGGGTTGCCTTTTCACTTTCCTGATGGTGTTCTTTGAAATACAAAAGTTTTAAATTTCATTGGTTTACCAGTTATTTTTCAACTTCCCTCCCTTTTAAAAAGTAAAATATTCCTCACTTTGTTTGTATCTGAAGTTTCCTTATATTGAGATTGAGGCTTTGCATTCTTGGCCTGAGTACTATATAGAAGATGTTATGTTTTTTCAGGGTATGTGGAGCCATGTCCTTATATCCTTTACTAGCGATGATAATTCTGATAATCTGATCAAGGTATTGCCTGATTTCTCTTCTGTATAATTACTAGATTTTTTCTCCCCCGTCCATGATTTTTCAAAAGATGAAATTCTCTCTTTTCTAGGCTATCTACACTCTATCAGCACATTCGAGTTCAGTGCTCTCAAGGCATGTGCTACATGGCGGTCAGACCCTGTGTCCTCATGTCTCATCAGGGACTTTGTCCCACTGACCATGAGGGCTTACACAGATTCCTCACTGTTTCCTTTTGGGCCCCAGGTTCACATCCTGGCTGAGTGAGTCTCTTTGTAGGCTTTATTTTCCCACAACCCTGAGTACTGCTTCTCGGGAGTCAGAAGTTGGACTTCGCCATGTTGGAAACATCAAAATTGAGATAAACATTTCCGGAGAGTGTGTTATTCTGGGCTCAGCAAGATGTGCTGATGTCCTTGCACATCAGGGGCTGTATAAGGAAAGATGGATTGACGGGCCTGTGTGTGTGTGTGTGTGTATGTATGTGTATGTGTGTATGTGCTTTTCCTGACCTGAAACAGTCTTATGAGATTGGAAAAGTGCATTTCACTTTCCCTGCTCAGGGAGATAAGCGTTTTCAGCGTTCTTGCGTGAGAACCCGAATCAGGCATTGTGGCCTTTCTTTCCTGCTTCAAGCTCTAATTCTTCTGTTCCTAGAATACATCCCACCAAAAAGCCTGTGACTAAATGACTTTCTGTGTCAGTGAAATGGGAGAGACCAGCAGAGTGCGAACCCATTTAAAAATATATCTTGGGGGGCGCCTGGGTGGCTCAGCCGGTTAAGCGTCTACCTTCGGCTCAGGTCATGATCCCAGGATCCTGGGATCGAGTCCCACATCGGGCTCCCTGTTCCGCGGGGAGCCTGCTTCTCCCTCTCCCACTCCCCCTGCTCGTGTTCCCTCTCTCACTGTGTCTCTCTCTCTCAAATAAATAAATAAAATCTTAAATAAATAAATAAATAAATAAATAAATAAATAAATAAATAAATAAATAAATAAGTAAGTAAGTAAGTAAGTAAGTAAGTAAGTAAGTAAATAAAAATCTGTCTTGGATTTGGGCTGACCCTTGCGGTGGCTGCAAGGCCCAGGACAACCTCAGCCAGGTGACCAACAGCAGACATCCCCACCCGTCATGTCTCCTGAGGTGGGGGCGGCCCTTAGCCCGAGATTTGCTTGCGGACTCGCCCTAAGTGCTCTTTCTCCGGTACCGGCATGGCTGGAGCTCCAGGGCCCCGGCTCCCTCAGCCCACCCACTGAGCTAAGTGTCTCCTGGCTCTGGGAGGCACCCTGAGCTCCAACTGTCGCATCCCATCCTCTTTCCTGTCAGTGTTTCTTGCCTTATCTTCTGAATATTAAAATAAACCCAAGAGATGTAAAAAAAAAAAAAATGCATCTTGGATTGAACTTCTCAAGTCTGAAGTGGAAGAGAACAATGGTGATACAGTTTTAACATTTATTGAGCCCTTACTCTATTCCAGGCAGTGTTCCAAGAGTTTTCCATGAGGAACTCATTTAATCCTCACAACAACCCTATCCAGTCAGTTTATGTACCATATGAGGAAACTGAAGCACAGAGAGGTAAAGTGACTTGTGCAAGGTCACATACTATGATGTGGCAGAGCTGGGATATAAATCCAGGTACCACAGAGGACATAAGGGGAATCTTGGAGAAGATGAGCATTATGAAACATGCTCGTAGAGAAATCTTTCACTGAGATAAACAGAGAGAATGCATTCTTAGAAAAGTACATTAGGAATTCTGGGAGGCGGATGCCGGATGACTGATGCTGTTCGAGTCGCCTCAGCTCCTCGTTGGAAGCCCTGAGTGAGGGTTTACCAAGCCTCTGATACTTGCACCCACATCCCCTCCAACTCCAGCTTCGGTACCTGTGTGGCTGCTGAAGCCTGCCTTCCTCAAGCCAAGTCACCTGGACCTAACATCAGGGTTCCGGGCACACGTTCTTGCTTCCGTTACCGTCTTGCCGTATCATCCACAGTTGTGTATGATGGACAGGTGCCAGGCACACGCACTGGCAGGTGTGCACCGATGACCAGTTTGTGGTCACACAGCGAGCTGGCCACAGGCTGCAGAGGGCTGAGCACAGTAGGCCTGGCCAGGGTTCACCACAAGCTCACATTCCAACTGCCACGCTGTCCTGCCGGCCACGGTCACATCAGTCACACACGCTGGGCTCCGTCCTGCCTGTGGCATCAGTTCCGTTTCCTGCTCAGCAGCTGTTAATTGTTCTTCAACCACAAAGTTTGCATAATAAGGCAAAGCCAGCACCAAAGCTCAGGTTTTTTTTAAAGACTTTATTTATTGGGGCACCTGGGTGGCTCCGTCGGTTAAGCGTCTGCCTTCGGCTCGGGTCATGATCCCAGGGTCCTGGGATCGAGTCCCGAGTCGGGCTCCTTGCTCAGTGAGGAGCCTGCTTCTCTCTCTGCCTGCCACTCCCCTTCTTGTGCTCTCTCTCTCTCTCCCTGACAAATAAACAAAACCTTTAAAAATTAAAAAAAAAAGACTATTTATTTATTTGACAGAGAGAGAGAGAGAGCACACAAGCAGGGGGGAGCGGCAGAGGGAGAGGGAGAAGCAGACCCCCCACTGAGCAAGGAGCCTGATGTGGGGCTCGATCCCAGGACCCTGGGACCATGACCTGAGCTGAAGGCAGACACTTAACCGACTGAGCCATCCAGGCGCCCCCAAAGCTCAGATCTGAGGTAGGTTTGTATTTCTCGTTGCACTGTGTAGGGAAAAGACAGAAAACTCCAAACTGTGCCTCAAAATTATCCCTCAATTGTACGATAAACTATAGGATCAGAGGATGGTCCAAGTCAGGAGGTGTGGTAGCTCTTGGAACTACATGTGCTGAAACATTTCACAAGATTACAGTTTGGGGACTCCCTGCCCCCCTCATTCTTACAACTCCTTTTCCCTCCTGTCTCAGCAATATAGATCCAACCTAGCATGGTGTCTAGACCATTACAATGAATGAATGAATGTACAGGGTGTGTGTGTGGGGGGGGGGGTGTTTGGACATGATTCAGAGCACTGTTAATAGTTTGAAAAGACCCAAATCAAGGACTTCCCACCTAGACATTAGTCATTAGGCCAGGCAGAGAGAAGGAAAAGATCTAAACAGATACATTCTGAGGGATGTACTCAACAACATGCAATCAATCAGTTGTCAAACCACAGCTCTGGTCCACAAATCTCACTGGTAACATTTCGCCTTGAATTGTGGCCATTTAAGCTCCAAAGCAGGGGGATGACGGAGACACGCGTCTATTCCATTTTACAACCACGAGGTGGCGCCTGTCCCAGGAATTGCAAAATGGCTTGTTCACAACTTGGGAGCTCTGGTCAGCCTGGCGGGAGACGAAATGTCAAGAGCTTGCTGGGTGGGTAGAGGAGCTTGCCAGGGCCAGTGCTACAGGGTAGGTTTGAGGAGTCCGTGCCCCCGGAGAGGCCTGGATTCATGACTGTAACGGTGAGCTCACCCTACCTAAAATAGCAACTCCCTCTCACCACCTACTCATCCTTTATCATTTTGCCCTTTACTTTCTTTAAACAGTTATCACACTTGACTTTACAATTTCTGTTTACTTGCTTATTTTCTGTCTCCCTTCATAAGAATCTAAACTGTACAAGAGCAAAGACTTTATTTTGCTCACTACAGCACCACCTGCTCCTACGGTACCTAGCGCTTAGTAAGCCCTCAAGAAATATGTTGGATAAATGACTAAGTGAGCAAACACATAACAGAGAACTAATAGTAACCAAGGTCTGTGGTTGCATTCCCCTAATGAGATACTCTGAAAACCAAACAGTGCTGTTATTGTCACTGTTTGCAGTAGGTGAATGTGTGTCCCTTTCACTCAGCTAACACAACCTGCCTGAGAATTAGAGTGGTTTCATTTTCTAAAGCTATATTGAGTCTACTGTGTTCTCTGGAAAGTGATCCCTGTTGAGTAGTTAGGTTTTTATGGCTGTCTATCACAGGAGCAGCCTTGCTGGGCCTCAGAGCCTTGAGGATGGTCTCCTGCAGGCTGATCAGGACTGCCTGAAGGGAGAAGGAAGCAGGGAACCACAAATACTCAGGAAACTCAAGCTGGGTTCACAGTCCCCTGGAGTAGAAGGAAGCCTCACCAAAACTTCTAATTTCCTATGGATGGGCCCCTCTTGGCTACGTCTAGGGCCTGGATTCAAAGGATGGCTTGCCTAGCAAGAAGGCCATAGATAACAAACCTCCCTGAACTTGGTGAGGAACTGCTTTACTCTTCATCTAATCCATTTGCCTCCCAGATACTGGCTAAGAGTGATGAAGACTTGGGTAAGGCTCTCAGGACCCATCCTGCTGTGAGAAAGGAAGCAGAGATGCTGAAAGCCCTAGTAAGGGGCATCCGTTCTGGACTGAGGAGAGGATCAGGCTGGGTTTGGTGTGGGTGCCTGGGTTTCCCAGCGCACAGGCCCACCAGCTGCCGCAGCCTACGGCAGGCACCAGCCCTGGTGCTCTCCCCATAAAGATCTGCCCGAGGGCAAGTGAGTCCTTGCTTTGTGCTGTGCAGCCATGATCTCTCCCAAATTACCACATGACAATTTTAAAATCACCTGCAAACCTAAATCCAGTGAATGCCTACAGACAACACACTTAACAGCTCAGAGAATGATTCAGAGGAAGCAATTTTCCACAGTGAAGATAATCATCTGGTAGTGTGAAAAGGCAAACACTCTTTTATTAGCATTGGAAACTCAAGGGCAACGTTGCTAAATCCATAAATGCAGTACTTGAGTAAAGGGCTCAAGAACAATATCCACAGCTGGAAAGAAGGACTTGTACAGATTCCAGTTCCACTCAGAGTCCTCCCACAGAATGAGCTCCCTTGGAGGGCAGGGGAAACTCAGCTCCAACCTCTTCCTGTTTACTTAACAATCAGCTCCTCCAGTCCCAGTCCTGGGCCCACACAGGGAATCCCAGAATGCAGAGCTCCCTGGTCTTCTTGATGTACATACTTTGCCCCAGGTGACCTCAACCTCATGTCTCATGTCTTTATTCTGTGACATTAAAATTCATATTCCAGTGCTGACCTCTTCTGGGACTTCATAAAATCAACTGCCTATCTGAACTCTGAATTTGGATTCCTAAACAGGTACCTCATACTTGAAATGGCCCGTCTCCTCCAGCTACCAGTTGCTCAGGCAACTAGGAGGCCCCCTTGGTGGTTGCCCTTCCCTTCCCCTCCATCCAATCCTCATGCAGGTTCTACGCTCTGCCCCCAAACCGGTCCGGAAACTTTCTATTCTCTCATCTCCACTCCACACCCTTAACCCAGACCACCTCCTCTGCCACCTGGATGGCCGCTTGGTTGGTTGCAATCGTTGGCTAATGGCTCTCTGCCTCCATGGCTTTTTCTAAAATGTATTCATACAGGAACCAGAACTATCTTTTAACAACATAAATCAGAGCATCCCACTCCTCTGCCTCAACCCCTCTGAAAGCTTGACAACATGTTTAGAATGAAACCCGAGCCTCTCGTTCTGGATTCCAAAGCCTGATGCGCTCTGGCCCCTGTCCAGTCCCCTGGCCTCATCTCGTCCCACTGCCTTCTCACTGCACGGTGACCACCCACAGGCTGGCTCCTGCCTGTCAGCCTCTGCACTTGGCCTCCCTCTACCTGGAGCGCTCTTCCCCCTGCCTGTCCCAAGACTGGTTCCTTCTGGCCGTTTTCAGGTTGCAATGTCATTTCCCCAGAGCGGCCCTCCACGATCCGGATTCTCAAGTCGCGAGGCGGTCCTCTGGCACATTCACCTACCGCGTAACACAAGGCTAGCTGATACTTCCCGTGGTGATTTATTTGCTCATTGGCCGTCTCCTCCCTCTAAAACGTTAAGTTCCGCGAGAGCAAGGACCCTGTCTGCCTTGTCACTGTGCATCCCTAGGGCCTACAACAGTGCCTGGCACAGAGGAGACGTTCAATAAATCGTTATTGGTTTAATAGGTAGCAAGAGTATAGCTACAGGCAGCCAGCCTCCCACAGTGTCTCAGGGTGGTTGGTGGGGACAGAGGGGGGGCTTGGGGGGGCCACAGCTGCTCATGCTTGTAGGAGGAGCACAGCTCTGGCGTGCGGGCCTGCTCCTGGAGGGGGCCTCACAGAGACCAGGTTTTTGCGGCCTCCTTCCAGCCCCCAACACCTTTCCATCCCTGGCCTTCTTGTGACACCCACAATGCAGAACCACACCGCCATGAACACCAAGCTACCGATGTGCTTGGGCAGGATGGCACATTCCGCTCACCCCGCCCCCACATCGGGCGGGTCACTGACTCAGGTCGTATTACCTTTGAATTTTCATTTTATGGTTAGACTCAGAAATGTAGGCAAAGTTCTGAGATGACAAATTCCAAGTGCTTATTTTGATGATTAGTTTTAAAAACGAAGATGTTTCCATTTTTGAAAAGAAATTTGGAAGTGGGTATTTAGGACCCATCCAAATAAAGAAGAAAAGTTTGATTAGGTTTTGTTTTTGTTTTGTTTTTTTAAATCAATGAGATGGATAGGTTAAAAAAAAATAACAACAACTGAGGTGAAAAGTGTGCTCAACAATAATGAAAATAGTCTTTGTTTTCTTTAGAAATATTTGTCAACCATTTTTTGAGTACTTTGGTGTAGAGAGTTGTGTGTCCAGGGTTAGTTTGTCACTGAAGTAACAGAACACAGTGTCGCCAGCCCGTTCAGGGAAACGGCAGCTTGTTTGATAGGGTTCTTTTTTATTCACTGTAATGAGACTTTTGCCTGTGGATTTAAATTTGTACAACTTAAATAATATTGAAAATTCCCGATTCTGCGGGAGGAAATGACTGTGAAGCCCCACTGCGCTGACCAAAAGGTGATTCTGCAGTACCTGGAGAGCGGGATTTGTGTAGCTGCTTCTGGCGGCGGTGTGATGATTAAGAGAACAAGCCCACCCGCGATGGTGCTGCTCGTGTCCTCAGAGCTGAGTCAGCGTCTGACCTTGGACGTGGGCAAGGAAAGTAAACCTGCCAGTCTGGCCTGTGCCGGGTCCCACCTGGCCCCCGGACACCTGTGGAGGCAAGCCCACTGGACTCAGGTTTGTGAGTCAGTACTTTTCCCAACAGTAGATGATTCTCATCCAAGGAGATCACATCTGCCCTGAACTCTCCAGGCCCTAACAGCAGTGCCCAGCAGGGTGTCAGAAGGACAGCTGAAGGCACTAAAACCAGCACTGTGCATAGGCCGCCGAGCAGAAGCTCGTCGCAAGGAAGGCCATCCCTGGAGCTACATGATTATGTCTGTGGACGTGCTTAGTTTTTATCTTTTTATTTCTAATTCTTTCTGCTTTAAGTACTTTCTTAAGTGATCACTGCTTAGAACCCAAGCTCCTGGCATGGTCACGCAGCGGGACTTAGGTCACACGGGCTGGAGAAGGCCATGGGGAAACGGAGTCCTCCCCGGTCTCAGGTGGGTGCCTGGCGCCTGGAGGACTCTCCCTCCTTCCCTCCCTCCCTTCCCCCTTTCCTGCTCTGCCTGGTCACAGCCTGGGTGCAGAGGGCTCCCTTAGGGAGGGCTGGGCAGGAAGAAGCTGAAGTTTCAGCCAAGGCAGCCCCTTCTGTGGCCTCCTCCCCACCACGGCCCCCTTGAGGAGGAGCGAGAACCAGGAAGGACAGGTGAGTCTCGCCTGAGCTGACTAGAGTCCCGCTCAGCCAGCCCTTGATGTATCTGAGACGTCTGCCCACAGCAGTGAGACTCAGGGGGCTCCCTGCCATTCTATTCTCAGTCCACATCCACAATGCTGGGAAAGAAAAACCAGGTTCAACTTACCAAAATATCTGTATTATCTATAAAAATTGAGCTCTAATGAGTCACTGCTACGGGAGGCCGCGATAGCCAACTGTGTCCCAGAGCCCACAGGCAGAGCGTGGCACCGAGGGGCTCGTGGGCAGGCTCACTTGTAAGGCCTCAGGAACCTGGACACTTTGGAACGGAGCAATCGGATGAAGGATCTTGGAAACATCTCCCGGGATTCCTGGGCTGTGTACTTGAAATAGTTCTGGGGGTGGGCCAGGACATCAAACAGAGCCTTGATCAGTTTCTTATCCTAAAAAGAACGTGAGTTTTGTTACTGGGCCAAAATACTTAAACATTCCAACATTTTGCCACTGGAACTATAATGGACCCAGTTTGGGGTCCTGGGTTGGACAGTAGGTTGAGTAGCTGAGAAACACTTTGACAATACTGGAATCTGGGGAGTATTTATAGGGTTAGGGATGTGGCAAGTGTCTGGTGATTACTTACAAGTATCTAAAATTGGGTGAACTTTAGGCCTGAAGGATAAACAAGGAACCAAAGATCTTCAACTATTTGGAGAGTGAACATAGAAACACGATCTGCCACTGGCTTGGATTTATGATAAGCAAGTTTCCCACTCTTCCTTCACACATTTCCAAATGTAAAAAAATACAACTTCACTTGGCAACACTGAAGACAGCCACCTGAATTTTTTTTTTTTTTAATTAAGTCTGGTGAAGATATTAAACTGACCTCAGCCCAGAGCAGGCCCAGTGTCTGACAGGTGGCAACATGGAGCAAGAGGAAAAGCTTCCTTCAGTGGAGCCGGGAGCTCCGTGGGTGACGGGTGACTGTGGTGTCCTCCTTGGCTATGTACTCACCTTCAGTATTTCCTGATGGTTCTCAGAGGCATAGAGCCTGCCATCTCGAACTATGTCTTCAATGAGTTCCTGGTAGTCCTCTGTTGGAATAAAGGACATAATTGACATTCAGAGGTTTTTGCTCTTTCCAAATAAGCTTCTGAGGAATGCCCCTTCTGTAGCTGCTATCAGAACAATGACCACTGTGATACTGAGAAGGCTAGCAGAAGAGAACTTCCACAGACGCCCACCACCACATCCTCTCACCTACCAGCCTCTGCACCCGTCTCTTCTGTTCCATCTTCCCTCAGATGAACCCTCTGTGCATCCGGTCAAGGCCCTTCCTCCACTCTGTCCACTGGCTCCAACTTCTCTCACCAAGAGAAGTTGTCCCTTTATTGCAAAACTCCTCAAAAGAATTGTCAACACTCCCTGTCTCTGGTTATTCCTCCTCCTGGATCCACTTCCTCACTCAGCTTCCAGGATACGACACTCTGGTTTTCCTCCCCCCCACACTGGTCACTCTGTCTGAGGCTCATTTGCTTTTCTCCCTCCTCTCCCTGACCTCTTACTGTAGGAGGGACCCAGGGCTCAGTGCTTGGGTCTCATCTCTTCTGTCTATGCTCACTCCTTGCTGAGCTCATCCAAGCTCATGGCTTTTCTCTCCTCTACTTTTCTCTCTTCTATCCTCCTCCCTTTCTTCTCTTTGCCCTCATATTGTGCAAAACAATTGAACTTCTTATCCACCAAGCAAGACTCTTTTTACTTTTTTTTTTTTGGATTGGGGTGGGGAGAATTTGGCTGGTTGGAGAGGGAAAAAGCCATATTCATTTTCTTATCAATAATTTTTGGTCCTGACATACACATTAATGCAATGCACTTCATGTAAGCTGTCTCTGAATCTAAATCCCCACCTTTCAAGTCTAGCCTATTTCCTACAGTCATAATTCAAACCAAGCATAGGCAAAACACAATCTGTTCCAATTCCAGGCTGAAAAGAATGTCTCTTTGTATGCATATCATGTGCAACAAAACCAAACAAATCATAAGAACATCATTGGAATTGTGTGGGAAGAGTTCTTGAAGAAGTTTCTCCTAGTCAAGTGATGGTAAAATGGAAATTCACTAGCTATTTATTAACTATTATATAGTTCCCATAATTACTTTTTTTTTAATCTATGGCATTGTTATCTTTATTTTATTTATTTTTTATTATTATGTTATGTTAGTCACCATACAGTACATCATTAGTTTTTGAAGTAGTGTTCCATGATTCATTGTTTGCGTATAACACCCAGTGCTCCATGCAGAACGTGCCCTCCTCAATACCCATCACCAAGCTGACCCATCCTCCCACCCAGTTCTCATAATTACTAATTGAATACATGTACAACCCCACTGGTACTCTATTCATGTGGTATCTTCCTTCTTATTCTTTTATTTTATTTTATTTTATTTTATTTATTTTTTTTTTTAAAGATTTTATTTATTTTTTAGAGAGCCAGCGAGAGAGAAACAGCATGAGAGGGGAGAGGGTCAGAGGGAGAAGCAGGCTCCCCGCTGAGCCGGGAGCCCGATGTGGGACTCGATCCCAGGACCCCGGGATCATGACCTGAGCCGAAGGCAGACGCTTAACCATCTGAGCCACCCAGGCGCCCTTATTCTTTTATTTTAATATAAAATATGAGTAAAGGTATTTGTTGTTTATCTCAAATCCCTCTCCTACAGAGTGTCTTCCTCAGAAAACTAGCTCCTTTGGCTGACGGGTGTTCACCACCAGCAACACCAGTTGCTGTGCTGTGTTCTGGCTAAGAACGGAAGAGCTGTCTGCCGCTACACCAAATGCTTCCAGACTGCGGTCCAAAAAAATCTTAAAACAATTCTCTCCACTATTAAGAACTATTGTGTTTTGTCACTTGCTACAACTGTCATGAGAAAAGCAGCCAGGTGTTGTAGGTAAGAGCTCAGGCCCCGGAGTGCCGAAGACCTCTGCAACGCTGTCCTCCTGTGACCTCAGGCCAGTGGTCTAAGTTAATCTCTAAGCCCGAGTGGCCTTGCCTGCAGAACCAGCAAAGAATCGTGTCTACTTCATGGGCAACTGTGAGGAATGTGCCATGTCAGGGGCACTTAGCACATGCCTGGTACTCAGTACACGTACTCAGTACAGGTCAGCCATGACTGCAACTCTCCCCGTCCTGCAGGGGTCAGTGAGCCAGTCTGCAGCAACCTCACCTGCCCCCCCCCTTTTTAAAGATTTATTTATTTATTTGATAGAGAGAGAGCACAAGCAGGAGTTGGGGGGGGGCGGGAAGGGGCCGAGGGAGACGGAGAGAGAGAATCCTCAGACTCCCCGCTGAGCACGGAGCCCAACATGAGGCCCAACCCCAGGACCCTGAGATCATGACCTGAGCCAAAATCAAGAGTCAGCCACTTAACTGACTGAGCTATCCAGGCACCCCAGCACCTGTCCCTTCTAAACGTGATTTCTAGTCTTCTGGGCTTGGAAACCAGGTATCAAACTTGTCTGAAGTACATGTTTAAAAACAAAGATTGAGGGGGCACCTGGGTGGCTCAGTCGGTTAAGCGACTGCCTTCGGCTCAGGTCATGATCCTGGAGTCCCTGGATCGAGTCCCGCATCGGGCTCCCTGCTCGGCAGGGAGTCTGCTTCTCCCTCTGACCCTCCCCCCCTCATGCTCTCTCTCTCTCTCTCATTCTCTCTCTCAAATAAATAAATAAAAAATCTTTTAAAAAAATAAAATAAATAAAATAAAAATAAAAACAAAGATTGAGGGGGCACCTGGGTGGCTCAGTCGGTTAAGTATCTGCCTTCAGCTCAGGTCATGATCCCAGGGTCCTGGAATCAAGCCCCTCATCGGGCTCCCTGCTCAGCGGGAAGCCTGCTTCTCCCTCTCCCACTCCCCCTGCTTGTGTTCCCTCTCTCACTGTGTCTCTCTCTGTGTCAAATAAATAAAAAGACTGAATAAGCTCTGAATAAAGACCTGCAACAGTTTTCAACTATTTTCTTCTGTGACATGTGTAAGACACATTCTCATGGGCCTAAGCAGAGTTATGTGTAATTTCCCTGGCTCAAGCTACAACTCTTTATTTGAGAAAATGAAAAAAAAATCAAGATGTTTTTGTGTGCCACAAAGGCAGAGTTGAGAACAGCCAGGCTAAAATATGTGCGCTTTAGTGATATTTATCCTGGAGTCTCCATGTCTTTTTTGGTTCCCTCACTGATCCCAGATAGGGGAGGCTGTTGGTTGTCCTGCTCTCGGGCAGATGGGGTGCTCTGTCTCTCTCAGCAGAGCCACGTGGGAGGCACTGGTGTCTACCTAGGAGTCTGATCCTATGAGCCCTTGTCTTGGGGGTTTGACATGGTTTCAGGCACGGAGATGATAATCCTGGCTTTTGTAACAGGTTAGAAATAAACTATGTGAACTGCTTTTATAAAATCCACAGAATATTAATCTTTCTAAAACACCTACTTTGGGCACTTGTCTGCCTAAAAGGCTTGCACAGTTCAATGGCTCCCTGTGAGATTAGGAACACCCTTCTGAGTCTGGCACTCAAGGCTCTTCACCACCTCCACACCCTTCTAATCTCATCTCTCACTGCTAAGCCCCATGCACCCTACCAACTGACCCAATCAGGCTGTTAATCAGTCCCCACACACGTCAGGTACTCTATCCTGTGGCCTATATCATTCTCTCTTCCTAATGTTCTTCTTCCCATTACAAAACAAACAACAACAACAAACAACTCATGTTCTTTGAAGACACAAATCTCTTGAGATTTTGCTGTATTCTTTCCAAAAACCCATGCAAAATGAACTGGTGCCCATTCTTCTACCATCACACAAAGCTATGTACCTGCCACATTACAGCATCTATGAGCTGTGTTTCATCACTAACCATGTGGTCTCTAGCAGCTTGCTCAATGCCTAGCACAGGAGCTGCTCACTAAGTATTTGTTGGGGTACATGGATGAATGAATAAGTTCATGAATGAACAGATGACTTGTCCCCCACTGGATTATGAGGTCTTGCAGGACAAGGTCCTGTTCATTTTGTATTCCAAGTAAATGTTTGTCAACCAAGTCCCAGACCTGGGTAGGGCCCCAGGACTCACATGGACCACCCCTTTACTTAAAAAGAAGAAAATGAAACCAGAGAAGTCATCTGATTTGCCCAAAATCACACAGCAAATTAGTAGCAGAGACAGGGCCAGAACTTGAGTCTTTCTCCTCCCTTCTCAGGATTCCATTTAATAAAAGCCACAGTCATAATTAGCTAGTATTTACTGAGCATTTACTATGTGCTAGGCACTGCACCAAGTCCTTTATGGACTATCCCATTGAACTCTCACGTTAGGTCTAATGATTATCCTCATTTACACATTAAGAAAATGAGGCTTAGATGGTGCAGCCACTCTGGAAAACAGCATGGAGTTTCCTGAAAAAGTTGAAAATAGAGCTACCCTACAACCCAGCAACTGCACTACTGGGTATTTACCCCAAAGATACAATGTAGTGATCTGAAGGAGCACCTGCACCCCAATGTTTATAGCAGCAATGTCCACAATAGCCAAGCTATTGAAAAAGCCCAGATGTCCATCGACAGATGAATGGATAAAGAAGATGTATATATAAACAATGGAATATTATGCATCCATCAAAAAAAAAAGAAATCTTGACATTTTCAACAACATGGATGGAACTGGAGTGTATAAAGTGAAATAAATCAATCAGAGAAAGACAATTATCATATGCTCTCACTCATATGTGGAATTTTTTTTTAAAGATTTTATTTATTTAATTGACAGAGAGAGAGACAGTGAGAGAGGGAACACAAGCAGGGGGAGCGGGAGAGGGAGAAGCAGGCTTCCCGCTGAGCAGGGAGCCCGATGTGGGACTCGATCCCAGGACCTTGGGATCATGACCTGAGCCGAAGGCAGTCGCTTAATGACTGAGCCACCCAGACGCCCCTCATATGTGGAATTTAAGAAACAAAACAGAGGATCATAGGGGAAGAGAGGGGAAAATAAAACAAGACGAAATCAGAGAGGGAGACAAACCATAAGAGACTCTTAATCATAGGAAACAAACTAAGGGCTGCTGGAGGGGAGGGGGTTAGGGGGATGGGGTAACTGGGTGATGGGCATTAAGGAGGGTACATGATATAATGAGCACTGGGTATTATATAACACTGATGAATCACAGACCTGTACCTCTGAAACTAATAATACACTATATGTTAATTGAATTTAAATTTTTCAAAAAATGTCAAAAAGAAAGAAAGAAAGAAAGAAAGAAAAAAGAAAGAAAGAAAGAAAGAAAGAAAGAAAGAAAGAAAGAAAGAAAAGAAAGAAAAGAAAGAAAGAAAGAAAAAGAAAGAAAATGAGGCTTAGAGATGGTAAGTAACTTACACAAAGTCACCAAAGAGATTAGGCCAGGGTTGGCCCATGTTCTTACCCACCAAGCTATGCTCACTTTTACTTATTTTCTGAAAGATCTTTTCATTCCTATAGCCAGTGTTCCCAAATATCTGTTTAAAATTCGGCACCTGAAGGGCGCCTGGGTGGCTCAGTTGGTTGGGCGACTGCCTTCGGCTCGGGTCATGATCCTGGAGTCCCGGGATCAAGTCCCGCATCGGGCTCCCTGCTCGGCGGGGAGTCTGCTTCTCCCTCTGACCCTCCCCCCTCTCATGTGCTCTCTCTCTCATCCTCTCTCTCAAATAAATAAATAAATAAATCTTTAAAAAAAATAAAATAAAATTCGGCACCTGTGAGTCAGCAATGTCCTTTCTCCCTATCCCACCTGCCTTTCTGAGCATGTGTACTTGTCAGCAATCCACTAGCTGGCCCAGAGGTTAGTTCACCTGAAAGCAGAGAAGCTCCCTGCGTGGGATGCAGCCTGAGCCTCACAGTGCTTACCATCGTATGTCACGTACGGGACCTGGAAGCCTCTGGCACTGTTCCCTTCATTGGACTTGAACTGAATCCACAGCTTCTTTGATCTGGAGGTGAAGGCGATGGGCCGTTCGTAGGTCTGGCAGGTTTCATATGTTGTCACGGAATTGGATGAAGCTGCCAAGGGAAGTTGGAGGGGGTTGGGCTTCAAGACTCATCCTGAGCAGGCAGACAACACTCATCTTTTCAAATACACCATACACAAGTTATGCTCAAGAGCTCTTCAGGCCCAGCTTTGCCATCACAGGGGCCAAAGCCCTGGAAATTGAGAGGACTGGCTGGTGACTGCAGGCCCCCAGGGCAGGCTCACTGAAAGGCCCAGGGCTAGAGAAACAGCGGGCCCCAGTGCTCCAGAGCTACCTGCTGCCCCCCAGTAAGAATCACCACCAATCCCTGATGGCTTCCTAAGACCAGGTGGGGCCCGGTGGGATGCGCTTTATGGACCTTATCTCACTTAACCCTCTGAAAACCAGAGAAGTTTGTGCAGCTGACTTCAGACTCTGTAACCACTCTCAGAGAGGCAAACGCATCGTGGCTCTGTGTCTCATTATTAGTCTCAGTGCTTTCGGAATATAAACTCGTTTATTCCTCATGATGACTCTATGAGGCAGCAACTATTATCATCCCCATTTTAACAGACAAGGAAACTGAGGGACAGAAAGATCCAGAATGTATGTCCAAGACCACAGAATTAACAAGAGGTGAAGCTGGGTTCAGATCCAGGCAATCTGGCTGCTGGGCCCACTCACTACACTGCCTGGGAGTTGTGTTGATGGCAGTGTCTCTCAATGGACCCTGGGTCATGCGCCAAGATGGGAGGAGGGTCCCTCCTGGCTGGACTATGACCTTAGCCTTGGTCAGTCCCCAAGCCCGAGTGGCTTCCCATGGTGAAGCAAGTGTGTGGGGCAGCCCTCCATGAGCTTCACTGGCTCCCTGTGATGTTGTGGAAGGGTCCCCGGTGAGCCCAAAGGGAAAGACTGGCCTGCAGAATCACTACCTCTGGGGTTCAACGAGAGGCCTCAAGGTGGGTCTTTGTCTAAATTTTGTTTCTTGGCAAATGCTATAAACTCATGTCCATCTCTGTTCTAATATGGAGGTGACACCCTAGGGTTGCTGCCCACATTTAAAGCTGGGAAGCAGGCCAGCAGGCTTCCCCACCAGCCTTAGAAGGGGGGGGCAGAGAGAGGGGACGCACAGGTTTTCCGCATCACCAGGTAGTCCCCACAGTCGTCTTCAATGGGCAGGAAGATCTCAGGGACCACAATCAAGATTCGGCGCTTGGGTGGTGGGTTGATGGTCCATGTACACTCGGTGTTGGCTGGATAATTGCCTGGGTAGTTTGGGGATTCAATGTATCCGGTGAAATCTCCCAGCTCCCCTCCACATCTTCTATCTGGAAGGGGAAATGCCATGAGTCATGAAGGCACAACACTGTCATCACTCCACCATGGCCACCAGCAGCTCGGCTGATGAAAACTGCTGCATCCCTGTTGCCATCAGGGCATGGGGCCTGCAGATAGCACCATCGTGGAATTAGTGTGTCCTGTAATGCCTAGCACTCCCATGGGAGCCCAACTCCACTAACTCCCCACACAGAGCTCACCCCACTGAGTCCCCCTCTGAGTTACCATTTTCTCATTAACTTGAAGGTGATCCTGAGCAGGCCTTAGTGAAACAAAGGACAACTTTGATTTTCAGTATTTTGTTTACAAAGTCTAAGTGCCAGGGGAACCCATGACACAGAACTTCTAGGTCTGTCAAAATAGGAAGAACAGAGCTTACTGTGAATTACAGCGTATTTACCCTTTCCTAGAGACCTTGGATGATTTCGTGATATCCATATTCTTTCTCTTTTCTTTCTGGCCAAGACCACATTTTATTTTTGGTGTGGAAGGGAATTCCAATAGGGTATCAGCCAGTTTGGGGCATGTTGGATACTCACCTCTGGCCCCAAAAGCAAGGAGTACATGCGTGCACACACACACACACACCCAGCTCACTCATATCTTCATTCATTGACTCTCCACTCACCCAACAAATGTTAGCAAAATCTCTGGGGGTTCAGAAATGAGAAAGACACAGTCTTTGCCCTCAAGGCGCTTACTGTTTAAAACTGTCAGGTGAATGTGTACAAGAGAGGATGTTGAAGGGACTTTTTCCTCTCTAATTGTAACTGGGAATTATTATTACCATTAGAAAAAATAAACAGGCTTTTCTTCTTGGAAGGGGGTCGAGTGGGGAGAGCCATGGAGCTCAGAAAACTGCCTTCAAGTCTGAAGGACCACCTGAGGATCTGTGCCATGTGGCTTCTCAGGGCCGACCAAGGGCCGGGGATGGGAGGGCAAGGAAACAGATTTCATCTGGGTATCGGGAATAATTTTCTTTCTTTTTTTTAAGGATTTTATTTATTCCTCGTTGGCAACCCTGTCGGGACCCCTCTCATTCTTGAGAGATTTTTCTGTATCTTTACTTAATAAACTTCTATTGCTTTACTCACATACAAAAAATATTTATTTATTTGAGAGAGAGAGCATGAGACGGGAGAGGGTCAGAGGGAGAAGCAGACTCCCCACTGAGCAGGGAGCCTGATCCAGGACTCGATCCTGGGACTCCGGGATCATGACCTGAGCTGAAGGCCTTCGTTCAACCAACTGAGCCACCTAGGCGCCCAGGGAAGAATTTTCCAACACTGAACCTCAATCCCAAATTCCTCCAGTGTGGGGAGACCTCCTTGCTCCCCTACACCGCTGTCTTACTGACAATAGATTAGCTGCAATTTACTTCTAACATTTCCTGGAGAATTTTACATAATGATTAAAAACCAACCGGGGCACCTGGGTGGCTCAGTTGTTAAGCGTCTGCCTTCGGCTCAGGTCATGATCCCGGGGTCCTGGGATCGAGCCCTGCATCGGGCTCCCTGCTCCACGGGAAGCCTGCTTCTCTCTCTCTCCCACTCCCCCTGCTTGTGTTCCCTCTCTCGCTGTGTCTCTCTCTGTCAAATAAATAAATAAAATCTTTAAAAAATAAAAAAAAAATAAAAATAAAAACCAACCAACCAGCCAACCATGCGGCAAGTCCTTGAATGATCTGCTTCCCCATTCCTATAGGATACAAATCCAAATCCTTTGTGTGGCATTCAAGGCTTCCCTCCCTGATCTGCCTCAGGTTCCCCTCAAACATTGCATGATCCAGGTCCAGGGGTCTCTTCCCAAAAAGCCTTTCACTTTTCTGAGTCTGTGTTTCCTCGCGGCTCCTGTCTCAGGTATAAAGTTCTTTGTCCTGCTCTCTCCCATGCTCTCCATCAAAACCTTCACATGCCCTCCAGAAGCCTTTCCTCATCTCTCCAGACAGAACGAATTGTTCTTTCCTTGGCAATCCCACAGCCTGTGCTATCTACAGGGCCAGGGACTTACTCTGTTTGCAGTGTCTAGCATGTAACAGGTCCTTAAACAATGTTTGCTTAACTGAAATTCTGCCCCTGGGAGGAAATGTCAGCAAGTATAGCCTATCAAGGTGCCTAGAGAAGCAGCCAGGATCAACACAGTTGAGTACCTGGGGGCCAAGCCTGGCTCTCCTTTAGCGCCAACCTGGGGCACCGGGAGCTGGGCGAACAGTGTTCTCATGGTTCTCAGTGGACGTGGGACACCTGCCCCAACCCCCCCAGCGTCAGGTGGACCCAGGCACTTTCCTCTTGGTCAAGACTGTGAAAGCCTTAGAGAGACCTACCTTTACACTGGGTTATGTTTGTGGAGCCGTCAAAGTCAGTGGTAGTATTTCCTGGGCAAGAAACACAATTATTTTTTCCAAATTCAGGTTGGTATGTTCCTGCTGGGCAGCGAATACATCGGTGAGTGGTGGTGTTATAGAAATGTCCAGGTGAACACTGAACTGTGGGGTTGGGGGAGAGTGGAAAGAATGAAAAAAAAAAACAAAACTATTTTCATTACTGGTCACATAAAGTTTTCACAGTTTGTGAAATAAATTTGTATGCCCAAATGAAGTACTGCTTTCCTACTAATCTAGGGCTAATCAACACTTAATTCCCTAAATAGCCAGCTTGGGTGGACTTGTGACTCATGACACTGAGAAAAATACAAAGGGAACAAAGTATGGGTGTATCTTCAAAGCGTTTACAGTGCATGCAGTCAGGCATAAATGAGCACAGCCCAGGTTTTCATGCAGAGCACGCTTGTGGGTTCTGAGCTTGCCAAACAGATGCCCGGCCTGGGATTGGGTCCCTGGGGGAGGTGGCGGTGGGGCTCTGGGGACAGGTAGGACCTATATGAGAGGGGAGCTGCAGGGAAGGGGCCTGGGATGGAGGAAGACTGGAAAGAAGGAGCCAAGAACCTATTGCACAAAACCTGCTCACCTCTCCCAGACCAGTCGGCCCCATCTGCAGGGGCCCAGGTGGCTGGGGGAGAACACATCTAGGGAGTTCCCATGCTCCCCGCACTTCCTGCAGGGGCGGATGGAGCTGGGCCCTGACCACCTGCCACCGGGATACCACACCGGGCACCTCCGGACTGGGCTTGATCGGAGCTTTACCAGACTCCCGTGGTTCTCAAAATGGAAATTCAGTTCTGGAAAAAGACAAGCTGCCAAGTCCTCACCTCTAGTTTCACAGTCCTGGAAGGAAGTGGCTCCCTGGTGTTTAGTGGGGAGGCCTCCCCCACAGGGGAAGCAGGAAGTTCGGCCGGCCTCAGGCTGGAATGTGCCCAGGGCACAGAGCTGGCAGGGTGCAAAACCATCTGCAGAATATTCCCCAGGTTGGCACAGACCTGGGAAAAACCAATGACCCTCAATGAGCAAGGCCCCAGGGCAGACCCCTTCCCATCTCTCTGTCGATGAGCTCAGAATTTGGTCAGACCCGTGGCCCCGTGCTGACCTGGGCTCCCACCTCAGTGAGAGAAGCCCTGTCCTGCCCCACCACTGCCCCTGAGAAGATGGCATGTGAGCGCCTGATGTTTACACACAGGGCTACAAAGCACAGGGCAGAGATGGAGACCAAGGAGCCAAGTGTTAACAGCTTCCACCGTAGGCACCAGGCCTGGGTTTGCTTAAGGTTGAGGACTCCACAGTGTCCAGCCAGTGATTGCAATGCAGGAGCCCCCAGGGAGGGTCCTCTGCTCTGGAATGTATTCTATCAGCTTTTCATTTATTTGTTCAAGTGAGCATCAGCCCAGCATGTGTTGGGCACGGAGGTAGGCACTGGAGAGCCAAAGATGAAGCCAATATGGTCCCTGCCCGTAGGAAGCCCACAGTGCAATATGCACTGTTTGCACTGAAATGCTACTTACCCTCTCTGTCTAAGTAATATTGGAAACCAGAGGAGTAAGAAGGGGCAGGCAGAACCCTTACCTCCACATTCGGATACATTCCAAGCTTCTGGAGTCTTCAGGGCTCCAGGATTTTCTGGTCTTGGGCAAGGTTCGCATGTGATTTGTCCTTCCTCATTTTGGAAGGTTCCATTTGGACACAAAATGCAGCGTTCTTGTGCTCCATCATAATATGTCCCAGCCCTGCAACTGACTAGCCAAAGGGGGAAACGATCTGGTCAGTGAGGGCACAGAAGCCAAGGAAGGATGATATAAGTGCTAGAGATAAAGGTAAATAGATGGCATTGACCCCACACTCCTCCACACAAAAACCCTGAATACAGAATGTGTACCATCTTTGGGTCTTCCGTGTATACCTCTTGCCATGATCCCTGTTGCCCACTCTTAGAGGTGTTCACATGGTCCCTAGATCATGAGCTCCTTGGAAACAGGGATCACAGTGTCCTAATTATTTTTGAGCACAAGCACTTGATGACTTTTCCTATTTCACAGGGCTGTGAGAAGGATTATAAAGTGAAAATCATTCATTGAACACAGGCCTAACACTGAAAGAACAGAGAAGAGGGTGCTATTAATTCTGGCTGATGGCATCCCTGAAGGCTTCCTAGAGGAGGCCACATTGATGTGGGACCTTAAAGGATGAATAGGATCTCTCCAAGAAGGAAAAGGGGCAGGTCATAAAAAGTCATGCATGACATATAGGAGGAGAGGGAAGAAAGGAAGGTTGGGATAGATTTTAAAAATTCTTGAATGCCAGACATTTGGGTTTTCTTCTTCAGGTGGAGGAGCCATTGAAAGAAGAGGAATATGACCAGAGCTGGGTCTCACTCTCTGGTGGCTGTGGGGAGGGTAATCTCGAGAGTCTTACCAATAAGCTCCAACACAACATGCTTCATGTTTATAATAAAGTTAATATGTTATGAAGAGTAAACCATGCTAAATGTCTCCCCAAAGAATAAACTATAAGGAAATTAATAAACTATGCCTCTGACTATATTTCTGGTGTTGTTAGTTAAATGTAGATTTACATCTTGTTTTAGAATATGAATATAAAGTAAATATGCTTAAATGGGTTCTCTAGTATCATATTCAAACATCAACATAACCATCAAAAGAGCCTTTCTAATGGCTAACATTTACTGAGTATTCACGATCTCCTATTCACCATGCCAAAAGCTTTACATACATTATCTCAATTATCCCTAAAAACAACCCTAAGGATCTAACAACTCTAAGGAGTTGGGTGCTATTATTAACTCCATTTTACAGAACAGAGACTTAAGGACGTTAAATGATTTGGCCAAGGTCCCACAGCTAGTCTATGAAATACACCTACGGTGAGAATCAAGAGCTTTGAGTTTAAGGGGGAGAGAGGTCTCTAGCAAAAGTGCGGACTGAATCATAATTCAAGACTTTGCCAAGGATTCTTTCTGTGGCGTTAGGGGAGTCTGACTAGAATAAACACATTTTCTCTCATACTTAAGCTGCTGAGGAATAGAAATCAAAATATCACATGATAAAATTAGCTATTATATCTTTTTAATGTCTGTGAGGGGAAATACCTGTTTTCACGCTATCTGATGAATGCAATCTGCATATACACTTTCAGGGTTAAACATGGCAAAGTTCTCTATTACTATTAATAAAAATGTCTTTTCATTATTCATTTCATAATCTAAAAAAAACCCCAAAACAAGGTTTTTTTTCTAAATCATAATAAGCTAAAATATGCCACATTTCAAATACTAGGTCTACAATTAAACATAATCAATCCATAAATTCTACTCTAAAATCTAAATTTTAATACTTTTTTAGGTTGTTTGGATTGTCTCTTTAATATTCAGGTATCATTTTTATTTAATTTTATCATATTAAAAAAATTACAAGTGAACCAAACTCTTGCTTTCTCGGCAACCAACATAATGAGTCTGACGCCTAGACCTGTGGCAGACAAGAGTCTAAAATTCCGGACCTAGTCTCTAAATGCAGCCTCCCTGGATAGTGTTTTCCCTGATGACTCTGGTTTCAGCTCATCTCCCATGAAAAGCTGGGCTGAATTATGTACTACGAATTTGTGTCTTCTTATCCCATGTCCCACCTGACTATCCTAGGGCCCGCAGGCCAGGAGGGAGAGAATAACTCCTTCCTGGCTCTAAGGAGTCAACTGTCGTGGAGGCTGGCAGACAGTAAATAAAACCGAGGCTGTCCGGAGCCCCTCTAGCCAAGCCATTTCCATTTTTGTAAAATTCAATTGCCTAACGGGAAAACGCCAGATGATGGCAATGATTTCAAAGCCTCACTAACCATAACTTAGAGTCAGATCAGCATGGTCGTAGTTCCTCTGGTGGAAAACAGGTCCCTTCCGCAGGCACACAAGAAAAGCTCTGGTTCTCCCTGGAAAGCCTAACTGGATGGGCTCCCTCAGCTCCAGGTGTCCGCTCGCGTCCTTAGAACTATTTACACCCCCAGAGCCTTTTCGAGGTTACATTTTGAGAAGCTTCACAATGTCCCACATCTGCTGCAATTTTCCAACCGGGCAAAGGGCTGAGAAATGCCCCTCGGGCCAGCCTGCAGAAGGGAGGGTACCAGTTCTTTTTTTCTCCCCGTGAAAGGCCTGCTTCACATAAACAAACTCATACTGTCGCTCACAGTTTCCATTTTCCTTCCAGAAAGACCTACAGAAATAATTCCTGCCAAGCACTTTCCAAATTAATTTGTTTCTTTCACAAGGTGAAAATGAGCTAAACAGCAAAGAGTGATTCTGAAGACATGCCTGAAAACTGTTTTGCAAATGTGCTGAAGATCTGGCCTGAAGAGACCTCAATCACACGTTCCAGTTGGTTCTCTTTTCTCCTTGAGCAGCCAGCTTGTTTTGCTGCCCCAGACAAAGAAGTCAATTGCCCCCAGAATACTTCAGGATCACAGCAAAGCTTTTGTGTGTCTTCAGCGACCATTAAAATCCCATTCTCAAATCCTACACAGCTGTTTTCTCCCCCTCTTAAAAAAAAAAAAAATACAAGAAAGCTTTTCTGATGCAAACGAGAGAGACCAGCAGGGACCAGGATTAATGGGGACAAAGAGACCTGAAGGCTCACCCTCTTTTCAACAGGATGGCCTTTGAGTATTTCAGGCTATGGACAAACACTATGGTCTCTCTGTGGTGAAGATGGTGAACCTAATAAAAGAGGTCACTCTCTAGCATCTGTTTCCTTAAGAGTCACGCGTTGACTTCTGAAGGAAAGCCACAAGCAGCCCCCGCAGATTCCCAGGGTGTTCAGGGGCTGCTGCTTTGTCACAGTTCAGAGGCTAGAACCACACAGTGGCCTTGGGATCCTGGTTCGAAACCCTTTTAAATGAGTGTTTCAGGATAACAGGAGAGAGCACCCCCCTGGCTCAGAGGTTGAGCTGTCACACCTGTTCAGGTCTTGGTGTGTGTTCAGGTTTGCTATTCGAAAATCTTCTTAGAGTTGGGACAGTGGACTTGACGCCTTCCTGGCTGGGCTCCCCAGTGCGTGCTATATTCTCGTCATGTCTGGTTAACGGGGGCTGAGATGTCACTTCCTTTAGAGTGCCTCTTTTGCCCTCAGTTTAAATATTTCCCCGAAGATTTGCCCCTTGCCCTCTTTTCTCTTAATGTGGGTGGCTATCCTTGGGATGTCACCTGTTGTCCCTGTGAAAATTCATTAATTCAGTTAAATATTTAGCACTAATTATGTGCGGAGTATTGTTCTAAATGGAGCTGGGGCTATAGCACAGAAGACAGACATGGTCCTGCCCTCAAGGGACTCTCATTCTAGTGGAGAATATGGACAATAAATATATAGTAGAATGTTACCTAGAGGGAAGTACGGTGAAGAAAAGTGAAACAGGGTAAGAAGGGAAGACAAAGGGTGGGGGTGGAGTTCGTGTGTTTGCGGTCTCAGAAGAGTGGCCAGGCTTTCCTCTCTGAGCAGAGATCAGACTGAAATTAGGGAAATGGCCTCGCAATGGTATTGCCTGTTAGCAAAAAAAAAAAAAAAAAAAAAAGCCAGTGTAGCAGGAACAGAGTGAAAGGGCCAGGGTGATAGGAGAGGAATTCTAAAAAGCAAGCAAGGGCCAGATGATGTAGGTTCTTGAAGGTCATGGCAAGGAAAGTAGACCTTACTCTAAGTGTGTTGGAGGTTTTGTGTAGGGGAATGGCATGGTCTGACTTCTGTTTCTAATAGACCTTCTGGCTGCGATGTGGAGAACGCAGTGAGTCAGGCAAGGGTAGGAAACAACTCAGAGGCTGTCACAACAGACTGGGCCCAGGATGCTGGTGGTCTGGAATAGAGCAGTAATGATGGAGGAAGACAAAACTACTTAGAGTCAGAATATAATCTGAAGGCAGATGTGACAAAATTTGCTGATGGACTGGGTGAGGAGCATGACAGAATGAGAGGGTCAAGAATGCGAGATTTTCCATTTGAGCAACAAGGTAAGTAGAGGTGCTGTTTACTGTGATGAGGGAGAAGTAGGTTTTACTTGAGAGGGAAGGAGGAGGATAAAATATATTGTTTAGACACGCTGAGTTAAAGATGCCTGTTGGCCAGGCAAATGCTGGTATTGAGAAGACATTGGTTTTACGGGTGGTCTCCAAGGTCAAATATTACACCTTGGGGGTTTATGAAATGATCCACTGGGTATGGGCAAAGCCTTTTCACATCTATGCCTATTAATTTTTACCTAAAAATTAGACACAAAGAAAGGTTCATGGGCCCAGTGTATGGTATGAGATAGGTCCCTCAGCCGGTCTGCATCTCCATGAGTCATAGACATAACATGTGAGGACACAAAGTCTCCAAGGAAAGAGAAGGACAGGCATTCCACAACTCTGGGGGTGGGAAGGTGCTGACAGCTTTGCTTCCTTTCAATGTATTGAGAATCGCAGTTTGCCTGGTTGAATAGATTTCCTGATTATATTAACCATCTTCAACCAAACTAACTGGCACAAAATAGACAGCAACTTCAAGCAAGCCTGCAAAAACCCTGGCCTGAAACTACAAGCAACAATGCAAGCCCCGGGTCAGGGACAGAGAAGAGCCGTGCGGACGCAACTTTTACTCCAGGACTAGTTCTTTGTCAAATATCCTGACACTGAAACAGAAATCAGATCTGACAAGAGCTGAGCCAAAAGACTAGCAATGAACAAAAAGGCTATTTGAAAGATAGATT